GAAATAACGTCCCAGAAAATTGAAAGTCCGTCAAATCAATCAATTAAATTGTCATTTCTTCAAACTAACGTCCCAGCAAATCAAATTTCCGTCAAATCAATCAATCAAATCGTCATTTTTCTGAAATAATGTCTCATCGTATCAAAAGTCACGTCCCAGAAAATTGAAAGTCCGTCAAATCAATCAATTAAATTGTCATTTCTTCAAACTAAAATTGAAAGCCCGTCAAATCAATCAATTAAATTGTAATTTCACCAAAATGACGTCCCGTCACATCAAAAGTCCGTCAAATCAATCAATCAAATTGTCATTTCTCCAAAATAACGTCCCAGCAAATTAAAAGTCCGTCAAATCAATCAATTAAATTGTCATTTCTCTGAAATAATGTCTCATCCAATCAAAACTCCGTCAAATCAATCAATCAAATTGTCATTTCTCTGAAATAATGTCTCATCGTATCAAAAGTCCGTCAAATCAATCAATCAAATTGTCATTTCTCCAAAATAACGTCCCAGCAAATTAAAAGTCCGTCAAATCAATCAATCAAATCGTCATTTCTCCGCGATAACGTCCCGGCCAATCAAAATCCCCCCCCAAATCCCTGTTCCTCCTCCACCACGACTAAACCCCGGTGCCACCTCAGGCCCGACCTGAGCCCCTGGCCCCCACCGAGGGCGGCCAAACCTTGACCCGACGGGCGAGGAAGCCGACTCCTCCTCTTCCTCGGGCTCTTCCAGTTTTTTTCCCCTGGCTCCGCGCGGCCGCGCCGGCCCCTCATCACCTGGGGGAAGAGTTCGTGGCGGCCTTCATGCAAAACGGCTTGCGGCAGACGCTCCGCAGCGACTTCAAGCTGCTCATCACGGGCTACTCGCCCTTCACCTCCGTCACCGTCTCCATGAAGGAGCCGGCCTTGAGGGTGACGGTGCAGGCCACCGCGGGCCAAACCGTCCTGGTGAAGATCCCGCCCCAGGCGGAGATGGTGGGGAGCAAAACCTTCGACAACGCCGTGGCGGTGAAGGCCACCGGCGCCGTCTCCGTGGTGATGGTCAACGAGAAGCCCAACTCGGCGGACTCCACCGTCGTGTACCCGGCGCCTAGCTGGGGCACCGAGTATCGCGTCGTGACCCCCAACGTGGGCACCGATCGCTACGGGGAGTTCGTGGTGGCCACGTGGGATGAGCCGACCACGGTTGACGTCTACCTCAAAGCCACCGTGACCTACCAAGGCCGGTCTTACCCCCGGGGCTCCGTTCTCTCCATCAAGCTGGAGCCTTTCCAAGCAGCCCAGCTCCAAAGCCCAGCCGACCTGTCCGGCACGAGAATCGTGGCGCAGAAACCCGTGGCCGTCTTCACCGCCACACTTGCCTGGCCAGATTTACCCACTGCGACCATTTGGCGGAGCAGCTCCTGCCCGTTCCCAGCTGGGGCACCGCGTTCATCGTGCCGCCGTTGCCTTTCGAGACTCAGTCTGACATCGTTTACGTCTCCACCGCCCGACCGACGAGCGTGGAGTCACAACACGGGGCCACCAAGACCCTCCGGCAGCTGCGGCCCGATCGATCGGCGCTTTACGGGCTCCAGGCCTCCAACGCCTTGTACCTCTCCGCCAACGCCGGCATCCAGGTCATTTTTTTTGCCGACGGCGGCGACAAAGACGCCGTCTCTTACGACCCGTTTTTTATGACCATCCCGGACGTCTCCAGCTACTGCCGCTCCTACAACATCCTTACCCTGGACGGTTACGAGAATTACGCCCTGTTGATAGCCAAGACCTCGGAGACGACCGGATTGACGCTCGACAAAAGGCCCTTGAGGGACGTGGCGTGGAAACCAGTCCCGGGTACCGATTATTCCTGGGCCGGGCCGAGTCTGGGGACGGAATTTTCCGTCCACACGGTGGAACACAAGACGTCTCCCTTCGGTTTGCTCAGCGTGGGGATCCGGGAGCAAAAAGCCTACGGGACGGCGGCAGTTTGCGACAGCGGTGAGTGTCCCGCGGTCACCCCCAGGGTGCCTTCCCCCCTCCTTTTTCCTCCCTTCCTGCCCCCTAAAAAAAAAAAAAAAAAAAAAAAATATACGTAAAGCAAAATTTCCTTCCCGGAGCCGAGCCGTCCCCCTTCCAACCCCACAGCGGATAAAACACGCGGCTCAAAAAGCGCCTAAAACCGGTTGGGTTGGGCTGAAACTCAGCTTTTCTTTTGTAGTGCGAGGATAGGCAGGTCTAAAAGGGGATAATTAATCCCCTTTTAGGGGAGGATATTTCTCCGATAAAATATCCGAGGAGTAAATCATCTCTAATTAAAGGAGCCTCAAGCCATCAGCCCGGATGTTGAAGTCTAAGTTTAAATTGGTTAAGCCTACCCGGGATAAAATTTTATCTATAAATAATCGATAAATAAATCACCTGTGACTAAACAAGCAACGAAAGGAGGCTCAAAACGATCGACTCAAATATTCAAGTCTAAGCTTAAAGCGGCAAAACCCTCCTGGGGTAAATTTTTATCGATAAATAATCAATAAATAATTAATCTGTAATTAAGAAGACAGTGAAAGGAGCCTCAAGCGATCGACCCGGGTGTTCAAGTCTAAGCTTAAAGTGGTTAAACCTAAATGGGATTATTTTTTAATCGATAAATAATCGATAAATAAATCATCTATAATCGATTAATCAATGAAGGGAGCCTCAAGCGATCAACCCGGGTGTTCAAGTCTAAGCTTAAAGTGGTTAAACCTACCCGGGATAATTTTTTAATCGATAAATAATCGATAAATAAATCATCTATAATCGATCAATCAAGGAAGGGAGCTTCAAGCGATCAACCCAGGTGTTCAAGTCTAAGCTTATAATCGATAAATAAATCATCTATAATCGATTAATCAATGAAGGGAGCCTCAAGCGATCAACCCGGGTGTTCAAGTCTAAGCTTAAAGTGGTTAAACCTAAATGGGATTATTTTTTAATCGATAAATAATCGATAAATAATTAATCTGTAATTAGGCAGACAGTGAAAGGAGCCTCAAGCGATCAACCCAGGTGTTCAAGTCTAAGCTTAAAGTGGTTAAACCTACCTGGGATAACTTTGTAATCAATAAATAATCGATAAATAAATCATCTATAATCGATTAATCAATGAAGGGAGCCTCAAGCGATCAACCCGGGTGTTCAAGTCTAAGCTTAAAGGGGTTAAACCTACCCGGGATAATTTTTTAATCGATAAATAATCGATAAATAAATCATCAATAATCGATTAATCAATGAAGGGAGCCTCAAGCGATCAACCCGGGTGTTGAAGTCTAAGCCTAAAGCGTTCCCTCGCAGATCCCTGCCGGCTGGTGAAATGCCGAGCGAAGGAGACGTGCAGGCCGGAGAAGGGCGAGGCCTCGTGCGTGCACGACTACATGGGAACGTGCACGGGGACGCAGGCCCCGCAGTATCACACCTTCGACGGGCTGAGCGTGGACATCCGGGGCGGCTGCGCCTACACCGTGGCCAAATACTGCGGCAGCGACCCCGCCCTGACGCCTTTCCTGGTGGAGGAGGAGATCAGCGACGGCCGCTTGAAGGAGGGGTTGGCCAACATCTACGTCTACGCCTACAACATCTCCCTCCACAAAGGACAAGGAGGCGAAATCCAGGTGGGTTGTTGGGTTTTTTTTTTATTTATTTATAATTTTTTGGTTTGTTTTTTTTTTTCCCGGGCTTTTTGAGCCGAGCCTAAGAGGACGAAACACCATGGCGGGCGACGTCGAAATGACGAAGCGAGGAGAACCACCGAAACGAGAGAATTCCGCAGAATTGCGTCGCAACCGCCGCGAGGCGTCTTCCATTCAACCACGCTCGGTTTTTTTTGTTTGTTTTTTTTTTTTTTTTTGGGGGGGGGGTTCAAATCAAGAGAACAAAAAGCCGTCTTGAGGCCGCGACTCTACGGCGAGGCCGACCGCGGCGATCCGCCACAAAAAAATTGGCGCCTAGAGCAGCTTTTAGGTGGTCAGATGAGGTTCCCACCAGCCCTAGAGGTCGCCGGTTTTAAAATAAATAAAATTTTTAAGCTCAAAAATGGAAGGGGACGGTTCTCCCGCCAAAACTTTGGGGCTTAACTCCAAGACGCGGGGCAAAACTCGCTGGTTTAGGCTTGGGATTGCTTTTTTCCTGAGAGAAATTTCCCTTCCCGAGTGAAATTCCGGGTTGTACCGCTATTCTTTCCGGGAGGGGTGGGCTGTGAACTGGTAGCGGAGCGACAATTTGTCGAGATTTAATAATTTTTTTTTATTTTTTTAATTTTTTTTTTCCACCTCCCGAAGGTCAACAACCAAGTCACCGACCTCCCGGTCACCCTGGACGCTGGGAAAATCCAGATTTCCCAAAACGAGGGTCGGACCGTCCTGCGAACGGATTTCGGGCTGCAGGTGACTTACGAC